CAAGAGGGTATGCTAGGTCAGGACGAGTGCAAGTCATCACGTACATGAGGCAACCAGCTAGCTCTGGGTAAGGACCACTCGACTCTACGCACTCATCCGAAGGTAGAGCTGAGAGCGAGTGACCTATAGCCAGAGGAGTGGCCTGTGCTGAGGACCAGGTGAAGCCGAAGCGCTGAAGGACCTGCTGCACCATGTGTGACTGAGTCAGGGTAATGGTGCGGCGTGCTCTGTCCCGGGTAATCTGCAAGCCAAGGTAGCTGTGCAGTTCACCCAGGTCTGTGCACGTGTGTCTCTTCTGCAGCTCCCACTTCACGTGGACGAGAGACTCAGTGTCAGCTGTGGCAAAGACCAAGTCGTCGACGTACACGAGGATGTAGAACGGCGGTAGCGAAGTGTCGGTGCGCAGAAACAGCGACGGGTCAGCAGTACAAGGAGAGAACCCAAGTGCCGCAAGAATAGTCCTCAGTGTGTCGTGCCACTGACGTGGCGCCTGGCGGAGACCGTAGACTGGCCGCCGAAGGATCCACTTGGTACCAGGAGGAAACGCCCCAGTGAAGCCAAGAGGGCGGCGCAGCCAGATCTCCTCGTGGAGACTGCCCTGCAAGAAAGCTGTGCTGAGGTCAAGAGAGTGAAGCTCGTAGTCGCGCTGAGCAGCAACGTGCAGTAGTACCCGAAGAGTGGTCATCTTTGGGGTGGGGGAGAAGGTCTGAAAGAAGTCTACTCCCTCTCGCCGACTGAAGCCTCGAGCAACGTAACGAGCCTTGAAGACAGGCAGAGAACCCGGCGGCCGCTTCACCCTGAAGATCCACATGCCACTGACGATGTTCGCCCCCGGTGGGGGAACCTCGTCGACGTAGGTGCCTGTGGACTTCCAGGAAGCCATCTCTGCGTCCATGGCTGACTGCCACTGTGAGGAGTAGGGACCCTCGATCGCCTCAGCGTACGATTGAGGAGTCGGGATGTCTGGTGCATCCGGGTCTCCCTCAGGGGCAATTAGCATGGACACGAGATGGGGCGCAGCGGCTGCAAGACACTCAAGGTTCTGCTGTCTGTCCTCAAGGGCGTCCGTCCTAAGAGCACACTCACCCCCGACAGACGGAGGATAGAGAGACTCAGACTCAGCGACAAGACTGGCAGCGTAGTCTAGACGACAGCGGGCAGCAAAGTCGACAAGCTCAGCAACTAGGGCAGACGCAGCAGCAGACTCAAACGAAGGGTCAGTGACAGCAGTGGCCAGGAGATGCGTGACAGTAGGACTGGCAGCACGAAGAGAGTCAGACTCCGTGTCAGCAAGAGCAGGAAGAGAGGACTTTGGAGGAGACGGCAGAGGGACACGCTGTGGAGCAGTGGAGGGACGCAGTGACATCCGGTGTGTGCCAGGGACAGGTGGCGGACGCTCACGTGGTGCACGGCAACTGGTGGATGTAGTACGAACAGGTGACTCAGGACGGGACACAGGCGACACAGAACGAGACTCAGGCTCACGACGCTCTGTGAGACCCCCTGTAGGACCAGTGTAGGGAGAAGGAGGAGGAAGTGGCGAGGCAGGCGGTAGCTCTGACTGCGACAAGACCGGCGGTGGACACTCTACAGATGGAGGGGGACTAGGAGGAGGCGACTGACCAAGAACCTGCTGAAAGAGTGGAACGAAGTACGGCCGTGGCCGTGAGGTGCCCCCGGCAGTAGCAGAGACAGCACCAGAACCTCCAACAGCTCCAGCAGCACCTCCAGTGCAAGCACCTCCAGGACCAGCTGCTTCAGCAGCTTCAACGCCAGGGTCCGCAGCACCGGTAGCAGCTCCAACTCCAGGGTCCGCAGCACCAGCAGCAGCTCCAACGCCAGGGTCCGCAGCACCAGCAGCAGCTCCAACTCCAGGGTCCGCAGCACCAGCAGCATCTCCAACGCCCGGGTCCGCAACACCAACAGCAGCTCCAACGCCCGGGTCCGCAGCACCAGCAACAGCTCCAACTCCAGGGTCCGCAGCACCGATAGCAGGGTCCGCGACACTAGGAGCGCCACTCCTGAGACTGCAGCGCCGTGCGTACCACTCACGGAGCCGCTGGGGAGAGGGCAGGTCCCGCCTAGGAGAGGAAGCACTAGCACTAGCTCCAGCAGCACTCCTAGCTCCAGAAGCACCTCTCCTGAGGCTGCAGTACTGTAACTACCACTCACGCAGCTGCTGTGAGGAGAGAGCTCCTCTAGGTGTAGCACTCCCAGGCTCAGTACCCCCAGACTCAGCACCCCAAGACTCAGCACCCGCAGGCTCCGTACCCCCAGGCTCAGCACCCCCAGACTCCGCAACCCCAGGCTCCACACACCTAGGCTCCGCACCCCCAGACTCCGCACCCCCAGTCTCCGCACCCCCAGTAGGACGAGAGTCGACAGCTACCTCGTGAGGTCCAAGCGGGTCTACCTGGGACACACCTGAGGGAGCTGCACCCTGAGGGGGGAGGGGGTCTACTACAGCGGCACCTTGGGCGAGGAAGAGAGGCGGGGGGGGAGTGGGGCAATGCGGTAGGGGAAGAGGCGGTAGAAGGGTACCGACTCGTCAAAGGTGACGTCCTGATGGCGAGGACACGGCGCGAGGTGGGGTAGTAAAACTGCCAACCAGACGCGTCCGGAACAAAGTCAAGGAAGACACAAGGAACAGTGCGGGATGAGAGCTTGTCCACGGACGTATCGCGAACAAAAGCTCGAGATCCCCAGACCCGAAAACGCGACGCATCGCCAACCTCTCCTGTCCAACGCAGTGTCGGGGAGGTCTCCGGCAAGGAGACACGGGGCCAGAGGTTGAGCTGATGCGCAGCGTATCGGACCGCAAACGGCCACAGAAAGTGGGGGGCAGCCGCATGGATCAAGGAGGTATGAGCGACCTCCATGATTAGGCCAATGTGGCGCTCAGCATCCCCCTTCTGCTGTGGAGAGGCCTGAAGCGTGAACGACTGGCGGATGCCGTGCTTTGCACAGTAGGCTGCCTAGAGGTCGGAGGAGAACTCACCACCTCTGTCAGAGTGCAAGCGTAGGACAGGAAAGTCCGAGTGGAAACGCTCGCTGAGCTGGAGACGAGAAGCGCGGATCCAAGGGATCAAAACATCAGGGACCTCACCATTGGTGCGCAAGGGGAAGACAGCGGTGTAGCGCGAGTAGTCGTCAACAACTATCAGGAAGTACCTCTCCTGACCCTGACCACGGACGCGGGCGGGGCCCCACACGTCCATGTGGAGCGTCTGCAAGGGAGCAGTCGTCTGGGGGAACGAGGAGGAGTGAGGAGCAGCACGCTGCCGCCCCTCGACACAGGGAAGGTAGGAAGGAGCAGGCGAGGGTGGGAGGGGAGGGAGAACTCTGGGAAGACCAGAGACAAGGTACCGTTTGTGCATTGCCCGAAGGCGCTGCACGGACGGTTGACCAAGTCGGTGGTGCCAGAGGACGGTCTCGTGCGCCAGAGAGCGGCACGAGCAGGGGGCCGACAGCTGACCTGACGCAGACGCAGACGCAGCTACCTGAGGGGACTCAGTAGTCAGTGTGTACAGGTCCGACCCCAGCTGCCGTGTGAAGGTAGCCAGGTGACGGCCCGTCCGAGCACATGTGCAGTGTGTCACGCGCTCGTAGGCAGGGGTGAACTGGTGGACACCGTCCTGGAGCGCACTACCCACCACCAAGTTCGTAGAGAACGAGGGGCGGTAGAGACCTGACAGTGTGCCTGACGGGACGGCCGGACAGGGGAGGACAGTGGAGGAGGTCGCAAGGACTGGACCCCCAGAGGGGTCGGCGAGGGGGACTGCAACGGGCCGAGCAAGCTGCTCAAGGGCCGTGCAGTCACGAAAGAAACAGCGGGAGGCACCTGAGTCTAGTGTGAAGGTATGCAGTGCCGTAGTCGACTCAGTACCAGGGGGCGCAGACGCACTAACACCTAGAGCGACAGCCTTACTGGTCCGAATGCCCGGGTCGGGCGGAACACGTAGGTACTGAGCACCCTCTCCACTAATAGACATCACATACATGGCAGCGAGAATAGCATCAAAGTCTAGTGCAAAGATATCAATGTTCTTCTTCATCAGATCAGCCTAGCGGGGCAGCTCAGTCGCGGCTACGCTGCTGCTCGGCTGCTCCGCTGCTGCACCTGTTCAGCTGCGGGAAGGGGGGGGATGGGGGTAGGAGTGCAGATGCGGAGCGACAGGCGGCAGCTCGAAGGTGAAGCTGCAGGGCGACGAGCAGCGGCCCGACGAGAAGCTGCAGGGCGACGGGCGACGACCCGACGAGGAGAAGAAATGACGCGATGGAGTTCGACGAAAACGAGCGATAGGTTATGGCGCCAGCGATGCGCTTATCAGAGAAATTGTAGACGTCGTCGAAAGTGACGGGAAAGTGGTGCGGGAGATTTTCCGCCCACGAATGCCGCGAATCACCGGCGACGAGATTGAAGGTGGTTACGCCGAGGTTTGCGGGACGAGCATCCGTAGAGATAAGAGGATCACGATCCGCGTGTGCGGTTGAAGAGCTCTGATACCATGTCACAACTTGGGCTTAGAACTAATATATTTGTTTTGAGCTTGAAGCTCTTTAAGTACATCCAAGAAGGGTAGGGAATGGATGGGGAAGGGAATCCGGTGCAATCCCTAGGGATTGGGGGTAATCCCAAGGCAATCTCCAATTGGTGGGTTGGAGATTGCTCGGAGGTTACATTTGGGTTTGGTTGGGATGTAGGCGTACACCCAACCAAACACAAAGTGCAAACTACACTACTCTAGGATATAGAAAATATAAAGTACAAGTGTGAGATTGAGGGCTAACACTAACACATGTGTCCCATTTCTTGACTCATAGTTAACACATGTCTGTGGTTGCTCCTGTGTGATGCGGGACCATCCATGGCGTTTCTCGTGGGTCTTATGCTACTTGCACCACTTGTACATACGCATAAGTGATTACAATCTTAACCGAGCCAGTATGCACTCATGTTCCCCGTTGCTTGCCCCACCCATGCCGTTCCTTCTTTTTCCATGGTTCGCGATGTATTGCCTGCGACTCATCTCCCTCGCTTGTGGCAGGCGGAGAAGCGGCAGGGGGCGCTGAGGGAGGAGCAGGCAGGGCAGGCGAGGGCAGTGGCGCGCATTCAGAGGCAGATGGAGGAGCGCGTGTCGGAGCACACGCGGGTCACTCGCTGCATTCAGGTCAGGCGGGAGGCTGTTGCGGGCAGGAAATGTAGAACTTCGGTGGATCCATGATTGAGATGAGAGGGGAGAGAAGGGTGTGAAGGTGCAGAGCAAGGCAAGGGGACGGAAGGGGAAGCAAGCAAGCGAGTGTTTGTGGTTGCGGCGGCTGCAAACATTGAGAGGCACGGATCGCCTGGTAGCATTGAGGAGCACAGGGCGCATGGCATGAGTGGCGAAAAAGTTGTAATTGAAACAAGCTCCGGCAGGTAATGATGATGCAGTATCTTCTTACGCTCGAGCGAGGTGTCTGCTCAGGATCTTCACCTTTGTCAACGCAACCAGCTATTGTGAAAATATATATTGTATATATTCTATTTTTGCCTGTTCTCATTTTCTATATCTTGTACTTCTCCCAATATTGAAGTTCCTTCGTCTCGATCTTCCTATCGTTACTCTCGCTAGCTCACCAAAACCCAATCTCCTAGCTAGCTACTATCATGACAGCTACCTCATACTCGAGATTCTGAACATTCGATAAGAGAGAACAGGCCTTCCAAGCGAGGTCTCCCCTCAGCACCTTCTCTTAACTTTCATTTTTGAATGTGCTATGGGAGTTGTTATCCTCGCCACGACGCCACGTGCTACCGCCGACCATAGGGTCGGCATCTCAGCACAAAGGCATACCCAGCATTTCGTACAAGCACACAAAGATAGCTGCCTACACAAAAGCACACAAAGCCCCATCCACATCCACATCCCCATCCCCATCCCCATCCCCATCCCCATGTTAGATTATACTACTCTTCTGTATCCTGCATTGATCCTATAAACCCTAGGATAGAGATAGGCACCCAAACAATGTTTGGGTGCACAACTAGGGTTAACCCTAGGTGGGGGTTAGAACCCAACCTTGGCCCAATTATTGGACCCCAAGGTTGGGTTGAAGGATTATTGGCCCCCCCAATAATGTTGGCCCACTTTGACCAACATTATTGGGACCCCCCAATAATTCTCCAACCCAACTTATTGGTGGGAGCCAATAATGTTGGCTAGGTACCAACCACTCCCCTTTTCCTTAGCTCCAACTATGTAAGCCCTCATCATTCCTAATCAACTCATCGGTTCAATTCTCACATGTTATCAGAGCTCTTACGGCTAACGCCACTCAAGATCCTAGGACCATACTCTACCTCCCGCCGGCTCTGCCGTGCTCCTTGCGCCACTTAGCGCACCTCCCGCCGGCTCAGCCGTGCCCCTCGCGCCGCTCAGTGCACCTCCCGCAGGCTCTTCCGTGCCCCTTGCGCCACTTAGCGCACCTCGTGCCCCTCGCGCCGCTCAACGCACCTCCCGCCGACTCTGCCGTGCCCCTCGCGCCATCTCGGCGCCCCTCTCCTCACCACGTCCGCCCGCCGCGACGAACGCGGCCGTCAGCCGCGGACGCGGCGAACGCGGCCGTCAGCCAGGGACGCGGCGAACGCGGCCGTCAGCCGGGGACGCGGCGAACGCGGCCGTCAGCCGCGGACGCGGCGAACGAGGCCGTCAGCCGCGGACGCCGCGGAGACGCCCACCAGCTGCGGATGCCGCGGACGCCGCGGAGATGCCCACCAGCTGCGACGGACCCTGAATTAGGGTTTGCTGCTACAGCCCGTGGAGCAGCCGGACCGCTCTGTCCCTCAAGACGGTGTCGTCCACCTCCCCTCCCTCCCTCCTCCTCCTCTCATGGCCGACGAATCAACCTCGCTTGAGCTTGCCTCCATCGACAAGCTCGAGCTCCTCAACGGCACCACCGCCGTCAATTGGGTGTCGTTTGAGGAGAGCCTCTTCACGTACCTGGGCTCCGTTCGAGTGGGAGATTACTGCCTCCTAGACGTTGTCCTCGAAACACCTAATGGCCTCCCCCCCACTCCGCCCCCACTCCCAGGCTCCTCCCCCCCCGACGCCCCACCACTCCCGACCGAACCTGCCCCCCAAGCCCCTATCCTAGGGGCTTGGGAGGATGATCCGGACAGGTGGGCTCGCACGCTCAACAAATACAACAAGGAGCGGGACGACTATGTCATCAAAAGCAGAGCACACGCAGCTGCCATCGCCGATCACGAAGCTGCCACTGCAAAACTTGCAGAATTCAAAGCCGCCTTCGAAGAGTAGTCTGCTAAGCTCCGTAAGCACCACTCCGATACAGCTGCATGGCGCATTGCTGACCGCCGTGCACTTACTATCATCTTCTCATGCGTTCCCTCCTCTCTCAAGCGTGACCTTCGCCCCCCATCCTCCCCCTCCCTCGGGAAGTCTCTCTCCTCCCAATATGATCGCCAGGACTTACGTTCCCTCCTCTCCCTCTTTCGCACCTTCCAAGACATCACACTGGATTCCTCCCTCAAGGGTGCTTCCTTCGCTCGGCGCCTCACGGACACTGCACAACGTCTCAATGATCGTGGCATCCTGATCTCCGACACCCTCCTCACAGCACGCATCCTTGACTGCCTCCCACCCACCTACGACACTTACCGCATCAATTTCACCTCCCAGCACATCCGTCCTCCTCCTGTGGCTGTTACCATCGACTGGCTCCTTGAAAGTGAGGCACCTTCTGCGTGACTCTGCCTCCATCAATGCTGTTCATGCGCGCAAAGGAACAAACACCGGCGGAAGCAGCGGGGGCGGACCAGGACGTGGCTCGGGCGGTGGTGGAAGAGGAGGCGGTCGCGGAGGTGGACGAGGAGGGCGCACTGGGGAACGTGGCGGGCGTGGGGCAACCACTTCAACCACGGGTGGGCTCCCTCCGTGCCAGTATGTCATTCGCCAAGGCCCTAACAAAGGTCAGACCTTCAACAAGACCACCCATCCCACTGATACGTGCTTCAAAGCTCTCACCGACGAATGGCTTGCACGCGGCAACACGGGCCCTCCTCCACGCTGGAGCACCATCACCCCTCGCCCCACCCCTCATGACATTCGCACCCTCCCCGCCTATGCACCATCTCCCCCCAACCTCCATAATGTCCTCGCCCAACACCTCTCCCCTCACGTCCTCCAGCAAGTCCAACACCTCCTCCCCACACCCACCACCACCCCAACGCCTCCCACCTTCACCACACCCACCCTCGCACCTCAAACCCCTCCCTCCCCCTATCCTCCTCTCTCCCCTTATCCTCCTCCTTACGCTGGCTGGACCTACCCTCCCTACCCCCCATCTCTGTATGGCCATGGGACAGCTGCAACTGCTGCACCTGCTGAACTACCCACCTCCCCCTCTCACCCCCCCGGCTTCACACCGTTTCCTTCCACGGGTTTCATAGGTCATGTCACCACTGCTAGCTCTTGCAATGATCCTATGTATGCCAATGCTATTAATGAGTCCTCATTCCAGTACTCCGAGTCCCCCTCCTCCTCAAAGCCCCTTGAGTTCATCCTTGATAGCGGAGCCACGCACACGATCCTTCGTGACGCAGGCACGCTCCTCCCCCTCTCCACCCCCTCCACAATACTTGGGGCTGACTCCAGCTTTGCGATACAAAGCCGTTACACCTCCACACTCCCTTGTCCCCTCTTTCCCTCAGGTACTGTCACAGGTCTCTATATCCCCTCCCTTCGGAACAACTTGATATCCCTTGGTGCCCTCTCCGACTCAGGTGTCACCGCCATATTCCCTGGTCACAAAGCATATTGCGACTTATTCCACACCTCCTCCGGTCGCTTCCTCTGCCGTGTCCATCGGTGCCCCTCCACCCACATTTACACCTTCCGCATCCCCCGTCCCACCCTTCACCAACTCTCCACACCCCATCCCCCCGCCCCTTCCCCTCCTCTCGAACTCCCCCCTCCCCCTCCCCCTCCCCCTCCCCCTCCCCCTCCCCCTCCCCCTCCCCCTCCCCCCGCCCCTTCCCCTCCCCCCGCATCTAACCCACCCCCCCCCTGTCACTGTCGTGATCTCACACACCCCATCATTCTCCTCCACCATCGCCTCGGCCATCCCAACTTTGCCACCCTTCGCCGATCCATCCTCACTAAACTCCTTGACGGCCTCCCCCTTACCCTTCCCCCCCTCCCTCCTTCCCCCTCCCCTCCTTGCTCAGTTTGTGTTGAAAGCAAGCTGAAGCAACAACCACATACGAGTAACCCCTCCTTTTCCCTCCAACCCCTTGACCTCGTCCACATGGACCTTTGGGGCCCCAACCCTTCCCCCACCAGGCAAGGACATCGCTACCTCCTCATCCTGATGGATGATCACAGTCGATACTCCTCCGTCACCCTCCTTCGTACGAAGGCGGAGGCCCCGGCTGCCATCACTGCCTGGGCTGAACAAGCACGCAACCACTTCGGTCGCCCTGTTCGCCGCTTCCATTCCGATGGAGGCGATGGAGGCGGTGAGTTCCTCAACCGCACCCTGTCCTCCTACTGCACCTCTCACGGCATCCTCCACACCTACACTCTCCCTCACTCCCCTCAGCAGAATGGTGTGGCGGAGAGCCGCGTTCGGGAGATCACCAAAACTGCTCGGTGCCTTCTCGTTCACGCCTCCTGCCCACCTTCTCTTTGGGGCTATGCCATCCTTCACGCTGCCATCCTCACTAACCTCTACCCCCACCCTTCTCGTCCCACCTCCACCCCCACCGAACTATGGACCTCCAGCAAGCCTGACATATCCCCTCTGCGCGTGTGGGGTTGCAAGGCGTATGTCCTCATACACCCTGCCGACCGCCCACGCGCACGTGGAAAGCTTGCGTCTCGCACTCTCCCCTGTGTCTACCTTGGACACAACACCACCTCACCTGACTACCTTTTCCTCCACCCCCCCTCAGGCCGCCTCATCCGTAGTCGGGATGTGGTCTTTGACGAGGCCACCCAGTACTACACCTCTTCCTCCGCCCCTAACCCCCTTCCCCCATTTCCCCGGCCCCTTCTCTGGACTGACACACTGCCCCTCCTCCCGTCCCCTGCCATGACCCCTCCCCCCCCTCCTCCACCCCTCCCCCCCGCTCCCCTCTCCTCCAGCTCCTCCGGCGACATCCTTAACCCACCCCCCCCCTCCCCCTCCCACTCCACTACCTCACCTTCCGCTGCAACTCACCTTCCTCCTCCTCCTCCCCCTACTCCACCTCCCCCGCCCCCTTCCCCTCCCTCCCCCCTCCCCTCCTCTAATCCGCCCCCCCCTCCACCTCCCCCCCCCCTTCCCCGGCGCCCCTCCCCTACCCTTGTCCTTCCCCGCTATCCCCACACCCGCTCCCTGGACCCCATCCTTGGTTCCCCACAAACTTCCCCCCCCTCCCTCCTCGCCCTCACCGGTACTCCCCTCCCCCCCCGCTTCAGCCCCCTCACTCCAGATCCACTGCGCAACCGCTCCGCGCTCCTGACTGCACCACCACGCAGCCGAGCAGCAGCACTTCCATGTCTCAGATTCGACCTCCAGTGCAGCTGTCTTGCATCTTCACCACCCCCTCTACCTCCTCCTCTCTCTCCTCTCCTCTATGAAGACACCCACGACGAACTCCTCTTCCTCCACCTCCTCACGCCCTCCATCGCCCCCATCGTCCGCACCATGGCGGGCACTCCAGTACTTCTTTTCTCGAGCACCCCCACCATCTTCGAACCCACCACGTATGAGGAGGCTATTCCCTGCCTCGATGCACCGCTCTGGATTGAAGCCATGGTCAAGGAGAGCAACGCCTTCATCCACAACCGCTCCTTCATCGACGTCCCTCGCCCTGCCAAGACCAATGTCGTCAAGGGCAAATGGCTCTTCCGTGTCAAGCTTCTCCCTGGCGAAGACCCTGTCTACAAAGCTCGCTATGTGGCGAAGGACTTCACGTAGAAGCACGGCTTTGACTTCTTCGAAACATACTCACCCACTGCTACCCCACCGGTCGTTCGGGTGTTCCTCGACTTCGTCGGCAGACGCGGCATGCTGCTGCACTATATGGATGTCACTACCGCCTTCCTCTAAGGCGACCTACACGAACTCATTTTCATGGAACGCCCCAAAGGCTTTCACGCGCCACATGACCCGTCCACCGTTTGGAAGCTGCTGCGGCCCGTCTACGGCCTCAAGCAGGCACCCCGGGAGTGGCATGCCAAGCTCTCTTCCACCCTTCGCGAGCTTGGTTTTCACCCCTCCCGAGCTGCCTCCAGCCTCTTCCTTTGGACGGCTCCGTCCCCTTTCTACATTCTTGTTTACGTCGACGACATGCTACTAGCTGCCGACACAGATGCTGAGATGCAGGAGGTCAAGGACGAACTACAGCGTCGACTCGCCTACAAAGACTTGGGGGAGGTCCGCAACTACCTTGGCATGGAGATCACCCGCGACCTCAAGGCTAAGACTATCTCCCTCTCTCAGTCCTTCTACATTGAGAAGGTCCTTGAGAGGTTTGGAATGTCCAAAGCCAAGCCCATCGCCACTCCGCTTGCAGTTGGGCATCAGCTCTCGCCCCCTGCCACCCCCACCGACTCCTCGAACCCCTATGCAGAGCTTGTCGAGGCCCTGATGTATGCCATGGTCTGCACCCGCCCCGACCTTGCCTACCCAGTCAGTGTTCTGGCGCGGTTCATTGGTGTCGGCAGGCACACGGAGGAACACATGACGGCGGCCCGGCGTGTCCTACGCTACCTTCAGCATATGAAGAATTAATCTCTCACCCTTGGTGGAGCGGACCCGCCGGTTCTCACTGGCTTCAGCGACTCGTCCTGGGCAGATTCACAACCTGACCGTCGCAGCTCACAGGGATATGGTTTCTCCCTTGGGAGCGGCCTCATCAGCTGGCGCTCCACCCGCTCCTCCTCCATCGCCCTCTCCTCCTGCGAAGCCGAACTATACGCGGCCACGATGGTGGCACAGGAAGCACGCTGGCTCAGCTATCTCCTCACAGACCTTGGCTCACCACAACCATATCCCACCCTCTGGTGTGTGCAGAGCAGAGCAAGCAGGTGAGTGCAGAGCAAGCAGGTGAGTGCAGGGCAAGCAGGTGAGTGCAGGGCAAGCAGGTGAGTGCAGGGCAAGCAGGTGAGTGCAGGGCAAGCAGGTGAGTGCAGGGCAAGCAGGTGAGTGCAGGGCAAGCAGGTGAGTGCAGGGCAAGCAGGTGAGTGCAGGGCAAGCAGGTGAGTGCAGGGCAAGCAGGTGAGTGCAGGGCAAGCAGGTGAGTGCAGGGCAAGCAGGTGAGTGCAGGGCAAGCAGGTGAGTGCAGGGCAAGCAGGTGAGTGCAGGGAAAGCAAGTGAGTGCAGGGCAAGCAGGTGAGTGCAGGGCAAGCAAGTGAGTGCAGGGCAAGCAGGTGAGTGCAGGGCAAGCAGGTGAGTGCAGGGCAAGCAGGTGAGTGCAGGGCAAGCAGGTGAGTGCAGGGCAAGCAGGTGAGTGCAGGGCAAGCAGGTGAGTGCAGGGCAAGCAGGTGAGTGCAGGGCAAGCAGGTGAGTGCAGGGCAAGCAGGTGAGCGCAGGGCAAGCAGGTGAGCGCAGGGCAAGCAGGTGAGTGCAGGGCAAGCAGGTGAGCGCAGGGCAAGCAGGTGAGTGCAGGGCAAGCAGGTGAGTGCAGGGCAAGCAGGTGAGTGCAGGGCAAGCAGGTGAGTGCAGGGCAAGCAGGTGAGTGCAGGGCAAGCAGGTGAGTGCAGGGCAAGCAGGTGAGTGCAGGGCAAGCAGGTGAGTGCCTTGCGCTTCAGTGTGAGTGCATTGCGCTTCAGTGTGAGTGCCTTGCGCTTCAGTGTGAGTGCCTTGCGCTTCAGTGTGAGTGCCTTGCGCTTCAGTGTGAGTGCCTTGCGCTTTAGTGTGAGTGCCTTGCGCTTCCAACCACCAATGTGCTGTGCACCTCAAATGCATTGCCACCTGCCTCCGCCCTTCCGCTGCCAACCATTTCTCATCCTTTATGCTTCCTGCTGCCCCTCCATGCTGTCCCGCATGCAATCCCACTGACCGCATGTGTTGTTCTGCTGGGCACTCTTCACACGGCTCATGTGTGGCAGTATGTACTCCCCGTGGGCCTTCTCGCATGCATGCAAATCTCATGACCGCATGCATGGGTTCATTCAGCACCACATGTGCTGTTCTGCTGTGCGCCTCACCGTCATTGCCTTCCTCAACCTCCCTGCCCACCTGCAGGGCACGAGGCGCCACGGATGAAGATCCGAGTGGCAAGAGCAAGCGGAGGGCGCTGCGCGTGCGCGTGTGGGAGCATGTGGTAGACGCGGGACGAGCGCTGGACGCCTTGAGTCTGCGCGTTGGCAGCGCGCTGCAGCGCAACTCCTTTGTGCGCTCGCTCGTGGTGGCATACGTGCTTGCGCTGCACCTCTCTGTCTTCCTCGTTCTCTCCTTTGTCAGCCTCGAACATGCTCTACACAACTTGTAGCCTGTAGATGCAAGACGACCGTAATTCTCGAAAATATTGTCCCTTTTAGTCTCGATCTCTCTAGACTAGAACGTATGGCACCATGCACTATGATTGTCAGAAAGCTGAATCATATGATGTCGTTTTAGAATACTGGTATTCCCTGGATAGTGCAAGTCAATGTACTGTATCAAGTGCAATCATTTCAGTGGTGGTGAAAACATCGTTTACCGTACATCTAAAATTCTAAACAACCAAACTATGGTACTTCATAATCATTCAAATATCCCTACTCTAGTCTTTCCATGATCCTACTGATCCCATCTCTCCCATCTGTACAGAGGGCAGTGTACCAGCGGCCCCATTGCAGAAGCCAAGGAACCCTCCACCACCATGTATCAGAGACTGCAGCTCACTCAGAGCCACCTTGGCACTCCACAATACAACCCCTCGCTGCCATGTTGCATAGAGAACAGCCTCGTCTTTCATGTGCCAAGCCTGCGAAGCGGAGAACAAAGATGGAGTGGCATGTGTGGTGAGAGTTGTGTCGCTATGTGAGCTCAATGGGGTGGTGTGGATGGGTTGGTGGACAGGAAGGCTTGTTGGACCAACAGATGCAAGTCCATCCTCATCACTTTCTCATCCCCACCACACCCACCATCATTGACATGGCAATCACCCCATGCACACAGTACACAAACTCTGCAGCAGTGCCCCACGCCAATGCCACCACCCCTGCCATGCCACTTCACAGCTGCATGCCATACGATTCAAGTGCCGCAGACATGGGAGCCAGTGGGGGGTGCTGTTGCATGCATGGCATGAGGTGACATGAGAAGAAGACATTGGAGTTGGTTGAGCGCCCGTCACGAATGTGAGATCCGTCTTGACACACTTGTGATGACCCATGCCATCACGCAGCAGCATTTGCCATCACCACGTGGCACTGCCATCACCACATGGCACTGCCATCACCACATTCTCACCCACTCACATGGTCACCCACTCACATGCTCACCCACTCACATGGTCACCCACTCACATGCTCACCCACTCACATGGTCACCCACTCACATGCTCACCCACTCACATGGTCACCCACAGCAGCACCATCCTTTGCTGCATGCCTCACATCTTTGCCTCTATCAACCCCCCGCTTGCCTCCTCTCAGCACACCTGCCCCCCTCCTGCCTCTACTCTACTCTTTGCCACAACCAGCAGCACACGGCCCAGCTGCTACTACAGCTGCTGCTGTTGCTGTTGTGAGAGGGCATGCGGTTCAGCAGCTGTCACAGCAGTGCTCGCCTCATCTGCTCCACCACCGCCACCGCCACCACCAGCAGCGTTAGCAGTAGCAGCACCATGCGCCGGTCCCCTCCCTTGCCCTCTCCCGCGCCCCCTCCCTCTGCTCCTGCCCCTGCCGCGCATGCCAATCACCATGTGCCCCACGCCTGACCCGCGCCCCCCCTGCCCGCCAAACCCCCCTTTCAGCGCCCCCCTGCGCCGCACGCCCAGCGCTGTCACATGCTGCGCCCTGTGCCCGCCCCTGCCGCGCCCGCCCCTCCCTGCCACCACCCCCCCCGCCGCCCTGGCCGCCTGCTTGACGCCCCGCAGCGTGCCCCTCAGTGACGCCCCCCCTGCTGCCCGTGCTGCCGCTGATGGCGACCCCATCGGCGAGGCAGGACTGGTGGCAGGCGCGAGGACGGACGAGTAGCGGCAGCGGGCGGTGGGAAGTGGGAGTGATGGGTAAAGAAGGGTGAAGACGAATTGAAGATGAGCACATAGAAGGCGCCAGAGTGATGAGAGAAGGTTGAGAGGGAGACGTGTGAGTTGTGAGTGGAGGGAGCATGGCATGGCACTGCAGCGAGCATGGCGAAAAGCACAAGCTCCGCAGGAAACGTGAGGGAAATCAGGGGGAGGTGTGAGAAGGATGGAAAGGGAAGGGAAGGGAAGGGAAGGGAAGGGAAAGGAAGGGAAGGGAGGGGAAGGAAAGGGAAGGGAAGGGAAGGGAAGGAAGGGAAGGGAGGGGAAGGGAAAGGGAAGGGAAGGGAAGGGAAGGGAAGGGAAGGGAAGCACCTGGGCGGTGAGTGTTGGGGGTCGGATCGGTTGACGAAGAAGCCAGGTCGCTTTGCCTTGCGGTTGGAGGAGAAATACTCCTTCTGCCGCCCATGCCATGCCATCATGCCGTGCCCAATGGTGCGATGATGTCCCATGCATGCCATTCCACCCATGCATGCCATTCCACCCATGCATGCCATTCCACCCATGCAGCACCGCCCAATGTGGCAAAGTGAGTTGCACGATGAGAGGCGAAGCATAGTCAGCCAGTGGAAAATCGATGAACCAACGCACGGAACGACGAAAGCAAGGCACAGCATGGCTGACGGTAGCACTCTCCCCACTGCGACACCACACGGGCAGCACAGCAAGGAGGTGGGGGGGCGAGGGCATGCATGGGGGTGGGGAAGCATGGGCATGGGCATGGGCATGGGCGTGGGCATGGGCATGGGCATGGGCATGGGCATGGGCATGGGCATGGGCATGGGCATGGGCATGGGCATGGGCATGGGCGTGGGCATGGGCGTGGGCAGCGTACGAGGTCAGAGTCATCAATGAAGGGGTCGGCCGTGTCGTACTCCTCCTCCCACTCACCACCCTCCCACCACCCCTCCCACCCCTCCTCGCCCGCTCCCCCCTCCCCCTCGCCGCCCCATGCTGGTCCCTCGTCACCGCGCTGCCCCGCCCTTCCCCCGTCCGCCCCCTCTGCGCCCGCGCGCCCATCATCCATGCCGCCATCGTCGTCGTCGCTGTCGGAGCCCTGCGTGCACGCAGCAGCGGAGAGGAGAGCGCCACATGAGTCGCGCATGTGCGAGCAAACAACGATGAGCAATCAGGGTTCGTCTAGGTTTGCAGACGCATCATGCTTGAAACAACACCCTTCACTCACGGCGCACTCATGGTCACATGGCGAGAGCAAGAGAAGCAACAACTTGCCGCGTAGAGTCGCGAGATCTTGTCGATGACGGCGCTGAATCGGTTCCTCGCTTCCGGCAGCGGATCAACCAGCAGCGCCGCCGCCTTGGGCTCCCTGCCGCGCGCCGCCTGCTTGCCGAGGTGGGGAAAGGGGGGAAAAAGGGAAACTGGTTTTAGTAAAAACGCAGCGATTTAGACAGGAAGGCACACAGCATGGGAGGAATCTATGGGCGCCCGGCGGCTTCGCGAAGTGCTTGTCGCGAAACGAGAACAGTAACCAGACGTATCGCGCAGCGGCGGTCGACATGGTCGAGCAGTCAGACGCACCAGCGAAGCCGCACTTCCCGGCTGCGCATCGCCTCCCGCTCGCTCCTTCTCGCTGCTGCCCGTCGCCGCTGCGCCATCCGCCTCCGCCTCGCCGCGAACTTCACCGCTTTCCGCGCCTTCCGCCGACTGGAGCGGCCCCGAAGGAAGCGGCGGAAGAGGCGCGGAAGGCTGTGCGGGAGAAGCTTGTCGAAGGAGGTGCGCGTAATTGATGTGCGTAGTGGCGAAGGGATCGAGTCTCACGACGAGCCGCACGGACTCGGGACGCCCCGCCATGGCGGCAGCCCGACGGGTTTATGGAACGCCTGTTAGTGGTCTGGTGGGACAATGAACGGCTGAGGAGAGAAATGGAGAAAGGCGAGAACAGATTGGAGCGGCGCAGGCGCGGGTACAGGTCAAGGTTCCTTGCAATGCCCTGCCTTGCACTCGCTGGGATGCAAGCTGCGAAAATGGGGGGGTTGGTTGGTGGTTACATTGTAGGTGGCGCGCGATGAAATGTGGACCCCGCCGAGGTGTACGAGGAGGTGATTTTATTCGCAGGCGGTCTCGCTAATATTCGGGCGACGAGCATTGCTCCAACCCTTCCACGCACGATATTTTCGAACTACGAGCTCAAACTCGAGTTGAGCCGCACCGAGCGTGGTTACAGCAGCACCATCACGACCGCAGATCGGGTGCGTGCGGCGGGCAGGGCTGCACTGAACGCGATCGAAGGCCTCCAACACATAACCTAGTTACCAGCGCCAGGCTCATCCGTAACCAAGTAGTAATACTGGCCCGCCGTCGGCGCGCGGCCATTACCGCGACTCACTCGCAAGGTGCGTGCGACCCCACGACACACCCCTGATAGCATGGCCTCGCCTCCTCGCCTCGGCTTCCTGTCACGTCGCCGTGCAGGCCCCCGCCTCTCTGCCTTTTCCGCCGCCCACCTCCCCGCTTTGCCTGCCCCCTCGCCCGCGCCGCGCACATCACTCCACCTGTCCTCCCTCCGTCGCCTCTCGTCGCCCCTGGCGTTCCACCCTGGGTCATGCCGCCTCGCGCCTGCAGGGGGAGGGGGTGGGTGGGACGGGACGGATGCATGGGAGGCGGGAAGGGGGTAGGCGCGCAATGAGAGAAGAAGTCGATAGGGACAGGGCAGTGGGGTGTTGGGGTAAGGAAAAGGAGCGAGAGGAGGAAGGCGGCTGATGTGCGTGCCGTGCTGCCCCTCTGCCATGTGGGTGGGAAGTAGCCTCCACATGCAACAGTCACTGCCGCTTCCTTCCAACTTGCTTGCTTCTCGGATCATCACATCCCATCCCATCCCATCCCATCCCATCCCATCCCATCCCATCCCATCCCATCCCATCCCGTCCCCGTCCCGTCCCATCATCCCATCCCATCAATAGTAGCACCACTACCACTAGCAGCAGCAGCAGCAGCAGCAGCAGCAGCAGCAGCAGCAGCAGCAGCAGCAGCAGCAGCAGCAGCAGCAGCAGCAGCAGCAGCAGCAGCAGCAGCAGCAGCAGCAGCAGCAGCAGCAGCAGCAGCAGCAGCAGCAGCAGCAGCAGCAGCAGCAGCAGCAGCAGCAGCAGCAGCAGCAGCAGCAGCAGCAGCAGCAGCAGCAGCAGCAGCAGCAGCAGCAGCAGCAGCAGCAGCAGCAGCAGCAGCAGCGCCAGCACCAGCTGCAGCGGCGGCTGCGGAAGTGGGTGGGGCCAGCATGCTGTACGTGGTGGGCGTGGGGCTGTGGGACGAGAGTGACATCACGGTCAGGGGCCTGGCGGCCGTGCGGCGCTGCCAGCACGTCTTCCTTGAGGCCTACACCTCCATGCTGCTCGTTAACCGCAGCAAGCTGGTGCGCACTGCTGCTGGGAAGGGATAGTAATTGCTTGATTGCTTCACTGCCGCAGTGACTGCTCATCACCTTGAATCAACGCTCTGCGTTGAAGCTTGCTGTGATGACATGATTCTGTGATTCTGTAATGATATGTGCGGTGAAGAAAATGAGGGCTGGCTCACACGGCCCCTTCCTGCTACACGCTCCCTCCCATAGCCCCCGCTCCACCCACTCCATTGCTCCCACTCCACTGCCCTGCTTCGATCCTGTCTGTCTGTCCTCCCCCCTCCCACAATGCTGCGAGGTTTGACGTGCCATACGCCCACCCCTCGCGCTGCCGTGCACCTCTCTCAACGCTCTTGCTTCCCCCTCTCACCCCTCCTTCCTCCTTTTTCACACCCTCCTCCCCCCTTCCTCCTTTCACCCCTCCTTTCCCCTCCCCCCTTCACGGCCGTGACGGGCAGGAGGCGCTGTACGGGAGGGAGGTGAGGGTGGCGGACAGGGAGATGGTGGAGAGCCGTGCGGGCGACCTGCTGCACCTCGCCGCCACAGAGGACGTCGCCTTCCTCGTTGTCGGCGACCCCTTCGGGTGCGTGCCATGCCATGCATGTGTACGTGACGGCATGCATGGGTGCATGTAGGGACGCGTAGGATGTGAGGTGCCTGTGAGCACACGATGGTGAGGTGAATGGCATGTGGGGGTTGCATGGTCCGTCTCTGCTCCCTCGGCACCACCCATGAGGCCCGCTGCGGCATGCGAGGATACAGCACAAGCGCAAGGAGCTGAGTGGAAGGCCTTGCCGTGCTTCGGCATTGCCGCTGGTGAAGTGGTCCGCTGGATCCGTGATTCACTGCATCACGTGCACTCTCCTCGTCTTTCATTCTCCTCACCGTGCACTCCCCCTCCCTCCTTCTTTCTCCCCTGTGCCCTGCTTGTGCCCCGACTGTGCCCCACCCCCAGTGCCACGACGCACACGGATCTGATGCTGAGGGCGAGGCAGCAGGGCGTGGCGGTGAGTGTGGTGCACAACGCGTCCGTGCTCAACGCCATCGGTGCCACCGGCCTGCAGCTCTACAGGTGCGGACGGAATATACTGGGAAGTATGGCAGAGGGTGTGGCAGTGCAGTGAGTGTGGCAGTGAGTGTGGCAGTGAGTGAGTGCACAACAAGCTTCAATGCTCATTGCATGTCTCCCCACTCACTTTCTTGTGACATTTCTGTGTCGCCCTCTGTGCCATCCTGTTCTCAGTTTCGGCAAGGCGATGTCCGTCCCATGCTGCATGCCGCCACCCTTCTCACCTCTCACCTCCGTGCATCCCACCACCGCCATGTGGTGCTGCTACTCCATTCGGCGCTGTGATGGTGTCCTCTCAGGTTCGGCGAGACGGTGTCGGTGCCGTTCTTCACGGACACGTGGCAGCCCGACAGCTTCTACGACCGCATCCATGGGAATGCCGCCAGGGACCTCCACACACTCTGCCTGCTTGGTGACCCACCACGCGCTTGCTCTGCCCCTCCTGCCTCCATCCCTCATGCCAGCCTCTCTGCGCGGCGTGAGGGATGCACCGCGTGCTGAAGGCCCGAATGGGTGCACAGCATTTCGTTGCTTGCAGCTTGTCGTATGGCATCTGGTGATTTGAATGGGTGCCATAGGCGTGAAGGCATGCCTGTGCTTGCTCTCTTGTGACTCCGCCACCTCGAGGTGCTCATGCTTTGTCTGTCTCTCGTATTGTCTCTCTTCTCCTTGCCTATTCTCTCCATTCCTCCTCGTCATTTCTCCTCGTCATTTCTCCTCGTCGTTTCTCCTCGTCGTTTCTCCTTGTCGTTTCTCCTTGTCGTTTCTCCTTGTCGTTTCTCCTTGTCGTTTCTCCTTGTCGTTTCTCCTTGTCGTTTCTCCTTGTCGTTTCTCCTTGTCGTTTCTCCTTCTCGTTTCTCCTTGTCGTTTCTCCTCGTCGTTTCTCCTTGTCGTTTCTCCTCGTCGTTTCTCCTCGTCGTTCCTCCTCGTCGTTCCTCCTTGTCGTTCCTCCTTGTCGTTTCTCCTTGTCGTTTCTCCTTGTCGTTTCTCTTTGTCGATTCTCCTTGTCGATTCTCCTTGTCGTTTCTCCTCGTCGTTTCTCCTCGTCGTTTCTCCTCGTTGTTTCTCCTCGTCGTTTCTCCTCGTCGTTTCTCCTTGTCGTTTCTCCTTGTCGTTTCTCCTTGTCGTTTCTCCTTGTCGTTCCTCCTTGTCGTTCCTCCTTGTCGTTCCTCCTCGTCGTTTCTCCTTGTCGTTTCTCCTTGTCGTTTCTCCTCGTCGTTTCTCCTCGTCGTTTCTCCTCGTCGTTTCTCCTCGTCGTTTCTCCTTGTCGTTTCTCTTTGTCGTTTCTCCTTGTCGTTTCTCCTTGTCGTTTCTCCTTGTCGTTTCTCCTTGTCGTTTCTCCTTGTCGTTTCTCCTTGTCGTTCCTCCTTGTCGTTTCTCCTTGTCATTTCTCCTTGTCGTTTCTCCTTGTCGTTTCTCCTTGTCGTTTCTCCTTGTCGTTTCTCCTTGTCGTTTCTCCTTGTCGTTTCTCCTTGTCGTTTCTCCTTGTCGTTCCTCCTCGTCGTTTCTCCTCGTCGTTTCTCCTCGTTCATCCGCACCCCATTCATCCATTCACCCATTCATCCATTCGTCGTCGTCATTTCGTCACCCCATTCCTCCCGTCCGCCAGACATCAAGGTGAAGGAGCCATCGCTGGAGGCCATGGCCAGGTGAGGCTGGGGCAGGTGAGCCTGGGGCAGGTGAGGCTGGGGCAGGTGAGGCTGGGGCACGTGAGGCTGGGGCAGGTGAGCCTGGGGCAGGTGAGGCTGAGGCAGGTGAGGCTGAGGCAGGTGACGCTGAGGCAGGTGACAAATGATTCTGGGAACAGATAAAGCCAGTTGAAAGCTGTGGTTCCTAGAAACTGACGTATCATTTCGATGATTCCATGGGTGCATGTCGTTGCACGCAACAGGCTGTGTCTCTGTTGCTGCGTGCTTTTCCATGACGACCAGACTTACTTCCCTGCTCTCCGCTTTCATCTCACACCCGAGGCTCACCTCTCCAGATGCAAAACCAAAGCCATGCTCCCTTCCTCCTCTTCCTCCTCCAACTGCTCTCTCTTGTGAAATGTGCCGCTCGTGGTGGTGGTGGTGGCAGGGGCAGGATAGAGTACGAGGCGCCGCGGTACATGAGTGTGAACACGGCCATCCACCAGCTGCTGCTCGTGGAGGAGAAGCGCCGGCAGCAAGGTGAGGCGTGCTCACAGGCTGCTGCTCTCGTCCGCTGCTCTCGTCACCTCTGATCCGCTGCACTCGTCACCTCTGGTCCGCTGCACTCGTCACCTCTGGTCCGCTGCACTCGTCACCTCTGTTCCGCTGCACTCGTCACCTCTGGTCCGCTGCACTCGTCACCTCTGGTCCGCTGCACTCGTCACCTCTGGTCCGCTGCTCCAGCCCGCCAAGTTTGAAACCAAATGCAGCTGCCGCTACTCCCCCCAACCCCACACCTCCCTCACACTCTCAGACAGTCGCCACAACCACCTCTCGTCTCCACTTCTTTCCTCACAACCTTCCTTCCCCTCACCCCCGATGCTCACCGCATCCCTGGCAGTCTGCACACCGGACTCACTGTGTGTGGGAGTGGCGCGGCTGGGGGCAGACTCGCAGTGCATTGTGTTTGGCAGCATGCAGCAGCTCTCACACGTTGACTTGGGCCCGCCTCTGCACTCGCTGGTGCTGTGCGGTGCACTGCACGAGCTCGAGAGGGACTTCCTCCACGCCTTCAAAGTCACGGATGCCACGCCGAGGATTGTGGAGGATGGGTCAGAAGGAAGCGATGAGGAGAGCGAGAGGCCTATCTTGTGAACAGGTCCCCAAGTACCGTAGCTGGGTGAAAGTGTTGATCACCTTGGTTTCCGTGCTCTCGCTATCAGAATCTTTTTTGTCGGTTTGTCTAATTAGTAGGCGGTTTTTTTTTAGATACCGACAGTAATCTGCTTGATTAGAAATCAGTTTTTGTAATTCCTGTTACAATCCTAAACAGGACTTAGCCAGGGATCAGCTCAGGGTTGTTCGTGTTACGAATAGTAATACTTGATTATTACTGTGCACTCCTCACCGCAGCAAAGAGAAGCACGCAGTAACGAGAATGAACGCGAAGAATCAGACAGGTTGGAATTGACTCGAAGCGTCAGACGGTTAGGACGCATCTGGACCGTCGGAGCAAACGGCATCGGGGCAGCTGCAAGCAGGATGGTTTCGGCGGGAACAGTTTCGTAACTGAACGCGCCGCACGGTTGGGAATGTATTTGAATAAGGGAATGTACCCCTTAGAGTACATGGCTAGCTAGGTCGTTTCGTCTTCCTTGTACTCATATTTATATTTGCTGTTGCATGTTTTAATTATCTCAAGCATTTACATTCACTCTGCTATTGAGGTCAAAGGGCCCACCACCACTAGACTAGAAGTGTGCGAACCTTCCTGAGGTGATCCTGGTTACGATCAACTTCTGATCGCAACATGGTACGAGAGCGACTCGGGAATCCTTCGCACTGCCACCTCCGAAATCTACGACATTCGGGAAGTGGCGTCCGGCACACGATCGCGTGTAAGAATGGCCGGAGGATCTGGAGGTCAGACGAATCGGACGGCTGAAGCGCGGTCCAACCCGGCGGCGACAAGCGAGGAAACGACGACGATCCCTTCCGACGTCCTCGCAAAACTGCTTCAGCGACTCACGAGCCTGGATCAAGGGCTCCAAACATTGCGGAATTGCGACGCGGGAACTTCTCCACAACCCACTCAACCGGCCTCAAACGGTCAGAACTCCGCCCCGCAAGGCTTCTCTCTTGATACGAATGGCTTAACCCCGAAGACTCCCTGTCCCAGTGATGAAGCAATTCTCTCTGCGCAATCAAGGTTTTTGAGCATATCAAAAATAAAGACAAGTGTGTGCTTTGACGGCAGAGACTTCTATACATGGAGCTTCGAGCTGGAGCTGCTGCTGCAAAACGCGCAGATTACCATTATTTCGACGGGAGCCACTCGGAA